TGTATGTATGTATGTATATGAGGTCAGAGCTATTCCATGTATTCCACAAACTATTACCAATCAAACTAAATATGAAAACTGAAAGCAAGAAATTAGAAATATTTATAACAATTTAACATTTCCACAACATTTAAGCATATGAACATTTTCCTAGAAATGTAATTATTTTATTGCATTGGTAGGTAGTCTGCTGACAGAATTTCTCATGCTTAAGGGAGTTCAGTCTTTCCTATTAAGACCGTCAACTGATTGGATAAGGCCTACCCACATTATAGAGGTAATCTGCTTTACTCAAAGTCTACTGATTTCAATGTTAACCTCATCAAAAAAAAATTTTACATAAACATCCAGAATAATAATGTTTGATCAAATATCTGGGTTCCATCGTCCAGGAGTGCAATCACTACAGGATCATTGCTCTAATTTCCCACGCAAGTAAAGTGATGCTCATGGCGATGCAACTCTCTGCATTATATGGAGCAAGAAAGGCTGGACGTTCAAGCTGGATTCAGAAAAAGAGGCACTCAGTATTTAATTGTGAGCATTCGCAGGATACTGGAGTGCTCCAGGGAATTTCAGAAGGTTAGTCTATGTTTTATAGATACAGTAAAACCTTTAACTGCATGGACCATGAAAAGCTATGGGTTGCTCTGAAAGAAATGGGTGTGCCTCAGCACTTGATTGTCCTGGTACATAACCTGTATGGTGGACAGGAAGCCACTGTCAGCACAGAAAATGGAGAGACAGAATGCTTTCCAATAGGCAAAGCTGTCACACAGGGGGCATTCTGACTCCCTATTTGCTGAATCTGTATGCAGAACATATACAAAAACTGAGCTTTGACTCAGAGGAAGAAGGAGTGAAAATTGCTGGAAGAAATATCAATAACTTAAGATATGCAGATGATACCACCTTACTGGCAGAAAGTGGCAATGACTTGAAACGATTTCCGATGGAAGTGAAAGAAGAAAGTGCCAAAGCAGGACTGCATTTGAACATCAAGAAGACAAAAATCATGACTACAGAAGAAATACACAACTTTAACATTGACAATGAAGACAATGAAATTGTTAAAGATTTTGCTTACTTTTATTCAGCCATCCATTCAGAGACTGCATTCAAGAAATCAAGAGAAGGCTGAGACTGGGACAGGCTCATCAAGAGCAAAGATGTGTTGCCCAGCTGGTGTGGCTCAGTGGTTGAGCATTGACTTATGAACCAGGAGGTCACAGTTCAATTCCCTGTCAGGGCACATGCCCAGGTTATAGACTCAACCCCTGGGGAGGGGGGGGGTCATGCAGGAGGCAGCCGATCAATGATTCTCTCTCATCATTGATGTTTCTCTCTCTCCCTCTCCCTTCCTCTCTGAAATCAATAAAAAAAATTTTTTTTAAAAAAAGAGCAAGGATGCGTCATTAGAGACCAAGGCTATGATTATCCACATTTCTCATATTCCCAATCACTATGTACAGATGCAAAAGTTGGAGAGTTAAGAAGGCTGATAGAAAAAAATTGATTAATTTGAGTTATAGTGTTGGAGAAGAGCTCTGTGGATACCTTGGACCACCAGAAAGACAGCTAGGGAGTCCTAAGAGCAAATTAATCCTTGAGGGAACACTGCTTGAGGGAAAACGTGACAAAACAGAAGCTGTCTTACTTCAAGTACATTATGAGAGGCAGGATTCTTTGAAAAACAATAATGCTGAGAAAAATAGAAGGCAGCAGAAAAAGAAGTAGACCAACTATGAGATGGGTTAACTCCATAAGAGAGGCCACAGGCATGAATCTACCGGAGCTGAACAGGGCTGTTGAGGGCAGGATATTGTGGACACTCATTCACAAGATTGCCAGGAGTCAGAGCCACCACAATGGCATGTAACATGTACACATGGCCCAGCCAAGTTAATACATAAAATCAATCATCACATAGTCCATGACAGATTAGAAAATTTTACAAATCCTTCACTGAAGATGATTTAAGAAATATCGTACAAGATAACTATTAATAGTCCACCGGCTCACAAGGCCGCCCACCAGCAGGGTGTGCTTAAGTGCTTGTGGGGTGTGATTACGTAATTACTCTGAGGGGGCTCTGGGAGCCGCCAGGTGCCCACCCTCCGGGTGCTCGCAGTACCAGCTGGGCCAGAGCCTCCGCTCCTGCCCAGGGATGAAGCTGGCAGCCTGGGCTCCTCGCAGGCCCCCCACGGCCAGCCCCCTCCCCGCTGCCGCCAGGCTGCTGTGGATGCCATGACAAGGGCACAGCGCCTGCCCTGCCTCGCCTGAGCTCAATCCCCGATGGCCGTGACTCTGTTGCCCCATTTTGCTTCCATTAAAAATGTCTGTGTATTTCCAACCCTCAGCACCCGGCTTCCGCCAGCGGGGGCAGCCTGCGCCCTGGGCGAGGTCACCTCTGAGGAGACCAGGGGCCTGTGGCTGCGACAAAGGTGGTTGTGAGCACAGGGGCTGAGGTTGGGGCCACACGAAGGCTCAGGGTCTTCACGGCCTGGCAGGCCACCCTCGGGACCCCGCTCAGAGGAGAGGGACGCCGGCCTGGGCGGGGAGGGGCCCGGGTGCTGAGACGGCGCGCCCCTAGGATCGCCCTGGCTCAGCCTGGATCGCTCACGCTGGCATTGGCAAAGCCCCCTGGGCCACCGCTCAGCCACCAAACAGGAGCAGATGACCCGGCCTCAGCGGGTCTCCCGTGCTGGGCGCTTCCTCCTCTTCCAGGGGGAGCCACCGAGGAGGAGGGGAGGGGAGGGCGGGGCGCGATGCGGTCTCAATAGGCGCCTCCCAAAGCCGGTGCTGGCTGTTCGGGTGGATGTTGGACAAGAGGTCCGGATCGTTCTTCCAGGAACACACAGTCCAGTGGCTCTTCGTCGTTCCCAACAACAGGAATGCAACTGAACTAACAGACTCCATTTCTCACCCCGCAGATGAGCACACGGTCCGTCCGCAGGCCAGAGGCACTGGGCTGAGCCTGGGAGCAGGGGCTGCACCCCGAGGTGGGTGTGGGCAGCAGCATCGGGGAGGGATCTGTCTTGTCCCCACAGGTAGGGAGACACAGGGACCTGGCCCGCAGCCCCAGCTCGGTAACTCGGTCACACCGGCCACCTGCACAGCACCTACATATACCATGGCTCCCGGGGCAGAGCCCGCAGGGCAGAGGGTGGGAGGGCCTGGGTTATTGTGCCCGGGCTGCTGGGACACCAGGCAGCTCTGAGCGAGAGGGAGAGCAAGAGCGAGAGCGAGAGCGAGAGCGAGCTGCATGCTGCTGTGAGGTCTTCAGAGCATGAGGCCAAGTGAGAAGCAAAATACAGACCTGCGGGGGTGGGGGGAGGAATGTGTCAGCATGTGCTTTTATTTACATAAACAAACAAAAAATGATACAGCTGATGAGGGAACTGGGTGTGGCAGACATCTTTAAGATCACGCTGAGCTTTGAACTTCAAGCTATCACCCACCTGGCCGGCTGGTGTGGCTCAGTGGATTGAGCCTCGATCTGTGAACCAAGAGGTCCCGGGTTTGATTGCCAGTCAGAGCACATGCCTGGGTTGTGGGCTCGATCTCCAGTAGGGGGCGTGCAGGAGGCAGCCAATCAATGAATCTCTCTCATCATTGCTGTTTCTATCTCTCCCTTCCTTTCTGAAATCAATAAAATATATATATATTTAAAAATAAATAAAAATAAAATAGTCTACCAAATAGTTGCATTAATTAAAAAAACATTCAGACCAAGAATGCTCACTTCATGTGGGAACAGGGTAAAATACTGGAGCAGTGGCCTGGCTAGAAGGGGAAAGGATAGAATCACTTTTTTATTCTCAACAATGAGCCTACGCCATTAAAATCTACCTTTGCCCATTGATATAGTTTGTATTGCTCTAATTCAGAGGCTCCCAAACTTTCTCAACTCACAGCATCTTCATGTCTCACTGATTTTTTCACAGAGCCCCTAGGCCACAAGAAATACCTAACAGAAATATGTATGCAACAGTTAGGTCCTAATAACTTAGCTGTTTGAAAAAAACCCCAATATACATAAATTGAAAGACAAATATTTTAATTGTATTCTTAACCACCGTTGCGTATAAAAGGGTGTGTAAGCTGAACATCATCTCAAATCTTGGAAACTGTGAAGACACCACCACCTGCACATCTTGCTCCACACTGATTTTCAGTCGGTACTTGCATTTTATAACAGCTGAAAACCCCACTTCTCAAAGATAAGACATCTTTGAAAGGAATGGAGAGCAATCTCATGTTGAAACTATGAGTCATCTTGACCTAGTAGTTCATTCACCTGGCATCCAACATATGTCAAGTATTACCATGCACTCCTTGACATTTAACATATGCCACAGCGCCCCTAAGAGTTTGCTATGGTATCCTGGGTACTTGGAGCATAGTTGAGGACTCATAGTTCTATTCTTTTTCTATTTTTGATTCTGATCCCTCATTTGCAAAATGATAAGAATCTATTTTAAGTGGCTAACACTCAAGAAGCTGTGTTCTTCCCTCCTCTGTTCTTTGTCTATGGTGAAGGTTATCAAAGATTGGCAGACACCCCCACTCCCCCCCAATGTCCAGTCATCCCAAATATGTGCCTCCAGAGAGAATAACAAAATCTGTGACTCTGTTGTATATTTAAATAAGAACACCGTTTTCAACTATGTTCATTTTCTAACAATTAGATCAAGACTGAGAGCAGTACAGAAATATGTATAATTTTGTACCTTTCCCACAAATTTTTAATCATTCTTAATCACATCTTAATCTAATCCTGATTTTTCTATTAAGTTGTATGATTTCGCCGAAACCGGTTTGGCTCAGTGGATAGAGCGTCGGCCTGTGGACTGAAAGGTCCTGGGTTCGATTCCGGTCAAGGGCATGTACCTGGGTTGCGGGCACATCCCCAGTGGGAGATGTGCAGGAGGCAGCTGATCGATGTTTCTCTCTCATCGATGTTTCTAACTCTCTATCCCTCTCCCTTCCTCTCTGTAAAAAATCAATAAAAATATATTTTAAAAAAAAAGTTATGGAAGGAAATCTTTAAAAAAAAAAAAAAAGTTGTATGATTTCATTTACCCTAAATTCCTGTCATTGTAGTCAAAAGTCCCTTGGATGATGTAAGTGGCTCCGATAGGAGCACGTTGGGGCTTAAGCATAGCTTGAAATTAAAAGCCTATTTCTTTCATCTGGGTCAATACCTTCTCTTCATGATTACTGTTGTCAAGATCATCAACATATGAACTATTTATCCTGTTTGGCTGCTGTCAACAGTTGGGAAGACGGCCTCCCTCTGTCTCCTGTTTCTAGCTTTTTCCTGGCTCATTTTCCATAGGCAGAGCAAAGGGGAGAGACAGACACATACATCTCTTATATCTTCTACAAGACCATCTCTTCCCAGCAATAACAAAAAAGGCTCGCTCACTCTCTCTCTCCCCTCCCTTTTTATGAAGATCTCTTAGCTTCTTTTATCTTCTATCTACTGCCAGCGACCCACAGTGGATACAACCTGCCTCTGATATCAACCTGCTCTCTTGTAATGGAGACTATATTCCCTTTCCATGGAGAAATCCAAGCTTATCAGAACGTTTTTTAAAAATATGTTTTTATTGATTTCAGAGAGAGGAAAGGAGAGGGAACGAGAGATAGAAACATCAATGATGAGAGAATCATTGACTGGCTGCCTCCTGCACACCCCACATTGAGGATGGAGCCCAAAACCCAGGCACGTGTACTCCAAGGGGGAATCAAACCGTGACTTCCTGGTTCATAGGTCCACACTCAACCAATGAGCCACCATGGCTGGGCAGAACATACTTTTTAAAGCGTCTTTCCTAACAAACAGAACATAATTGTAGACAGTGGCCTGGAGTGGTTTTGCTCACAGCCCTCCACCGCTGTTCCCATTTCCCCAGCTTGATGTGGGACTTCCCACTTCTTTCTTGCTGGAGCTTTTCTGCGGACCAGACGTCAACAAATATATTGGATTCTTTATACTTCAATCTGTTTAACATTTGAAAGTGTTGAAAGAGGCGGATTATTCATTCAACTATAGCTACTTTCTACTTTCTGATTACCTGGTGGAGGGGAGCTCTTAACAGGGTACCTCGATCGCTGTGTTTAGAATCCAGCTGGCACACAGCCTTCATAGGAAGGCTAATGCTCGGTGTTCAGGAAAAATTAAAAGCCTAGGAAAATACAGGCCCCCAGGGACCAGAACAAAGCAGCTGAATGATGGTTCCTTCTGAGAGAAGAGGTAGGAGTTTTTTCTTGCCTTGCTCCTGGGGATAGAAGTGAAGTCAGAACTTCTTTGCAACAGTGAGTGACTAATTCCTCATCAGAGGGCCTGGTGCTTTTGCAGAGCTGATTTCATGAGTGGTAAATGAAGGGTCTCTCCAAGTGAGAGCTGATAGAGGAAGGACCAAAGAAAAAGTACAACCGCATCCCTAACCATTACACACATTGGAAAAGGGGAGGACATTTTTAGAAGCAAGAAGAGAAACAGGGCCACCCCCAGATCTTCAGACACATTTTTGTCCTTCCTGACTCACCGGGTTAGGAAAGCCTGGTGAGAAGGGATTAGGGAGGGAGCCTGCCTTTTTCTGGCAACATGGGGCATTTTGATTTCAGATTCTGCAAATCTTCAAGAACAGACACGGTGTGCTAGTGTTCTAGGCTGGAGGCCAGCGGCAGTTCGGCTGCAGACGAAGCGCGTCAGATGGCTGGTGCTGTCAGCCAGAGACCCAAGGACTTTCCTGGGGCTGCACTCTCCGGAAGTTTGAAGATGTCGGCACAGGTTTGCCTTCTGAAACGTGCAAATGTCACCAGCCGGGAGTGGCAGATGCCAAGAGGCGAATGAAAACAGATCTCCATCTGGTAATGGGTTAGGCTTCCCGGGACACAGATTAGAATAGTTTGAAACAAAGTGACGGAAGCACCGGCTTGGCTTTTCACATGTTGTTATGGTCCCTGGGTCATTTCCTGCCTTTGGAATTTACTTCCTTTCCAGGTTCAATAAAACCAGATGATCACAAGGAAGAGGTTGGGATTTTTCTTTGCCTCTGGCCCAGTGGAGGGGCAGCTCTGTGACTGTGAACTTGAATCTCCATGGTGGTTTTAGCCTCCTGTGCTCCTGTCTGCTCACACTGAGCCCAGGAGGGTGAAGCTTTAGGAATGGAACAGTAAATTAGGGACGGTAGCCCCCTCCAGTGGAGTCAGCTGAATCCCCTTGTTCCTAAAAAACAAAACGGGAAAGAACAGACTGGGGCGGGTGCACATGATGCTTTGTGGAGGGGAGCTCTTTACTACAGTTCCCCATGTAGGGACGCAGCCCCCCTTGAAGGAAGGAGGCTGAAACCAGCTCCACACGGCCCCACCCTTGACTTATAGGGGTCAACCAGCAGGCCAGTTAGGACAGTGACATTTGCTATACAATGGCCTGCTTTGTTTTTATTTTATCGATATTTATCTCCCACAGAAAAGAATTAAGGTAGCAACAACGATCTTTGTAGCATTTGTTTGCTCATTTTGGGGGGTACTTTGAAGCTGATGTGAGTCTTTATTGTAAATTCTCTCTGCAGCCCCCAGTATGTCTTGGACACCTCTGTAGTTCTACAGTGCAGAGACCCCTACCCCCCAGAAGCCAAAGTGAACCCTCTTATTCCAAGGGCTATAGGAGCCAGTCAAAATAATGCGGAAGCTGCTGCCACTATTGTGTGTCTAAGTCTGAAAGGTTTGTCTCTCTAGAGAGTGACCCTCAGTCACATGTTCCTTCCGAAAAGCCAGCTCGTGCAGCCCCTGGTGTCTAGAGGAAGCCTGTGGAACCTGTTCGAGTCCAGAGCCCACCTCTCTCTAGACTGAGAGATCTGAACTCACAGCTTTAGAGGTAGGGGTCATCTTTGCCCCACCTTGTTATAACACTGCTAACCTGGCAGCAAGTGTCCACTTGATGCAAAGGAAGTGGCAGCTGGTGATCAGCTTTTATCCCGGGCTACCCATCCCCAGAAACAAGAACCAAAACTCCCCGGTCCCCCACTACCTTGACAGAAAGCCAGGTTATTACTGTGCTCAAGAGTGAATCAAACTGACCTTTCCAAAACACTCTGTCTCATCAGGTATCCACAGAAATGGTCTCCTGTGACATTCACAGCGATGATTCCAACAACATTTAAGATGTTCCAGGGGAAGTAAGTACCTAGGAACAGAGTTGGCTCTATAAATACGCAGGGTCAGAAACACCTGCAGGGTATGATTTCCGAAGCACCAGGAAGTCTGCTCAAGGGCCCCAACTTTCCCCCACTAGAAACTGCTCTGGAAACCTATGGCGTTCTGTTTCCATGCTGGAGTGTAATCCGGGGCTGGTAACTTTGTAAGCCATTGCATTTAAACTTGGTGGGTCTGATTGCACAGGTGTGTCAGGGGGCCAGGAATTTGCATTTTTATCAAGCTCACCCACAGATGTTGGTGCAAGGGGCCTATGGCCCATACTTTGGAAAACTGTGCTGCAGAGAATTGTGAGTCATTGTCACATTCGCATGGATTGACTGGTGATGCGGGATAGCACCACACCTGAATTCTAGGCGTTGGCCCTCTGTGGGCAAAACAAGTTCATTCTCCACCTCAGAAAGCCTCAGGACCAGATGGTGACCTCTATAGGTTTAGTCGGGGGCTGGTTTCTAAAGTACGGTCCAAAGGCCTGCAAAGTATGAGGGTTGGCCCAAAGGGTCAGAGGGGCCAGGGCTTCTCCAGCGTGCCCTGCACATTCCCTGAAGCTCTGCAGTGCAGAAATCCCTGGACACAAGGAGGAGCCTCTTGCCCCAGGACTGCAGTCTGTCTTGGTGTCTGAGGTCTTGGGATACAAGGACAACTGTAGTAGATTCATCTCCTTTCTTCGCCTTCAGTCATTTACAAATAGGGGGAAAGGAAAGAAAGAAGAGATTTATTTAGTGCTTTACATGCACTGTTTTCTAAATTCTCAAATAACCCTAGTCTCGTTAGTCTCCTTCTGAAGATGAGACCATTGAGATTCAAAGAGATTGAATAACTTGCCTAAATTCCCAACATCATATGGCTCCTGAATGCTTGAGCTGAAATTTGAACTCTTGCCTGTCAAGGTACAAATTCCATGTTCTTTCCACAAAACTATTCAAAACCAAAAGTTTTACTGTGGCCATTCTGAAGGCCTAGATGTTTTGAGACCCTCAAAATAAGCTTACATCTCCCTGGCTGTTATGCATACCTGTTGCCCACTCTGTTTCAGAATCTCCCCACATCCTTGCTCTTTATTGCATCCCTGACCTCCAACCCCTCAGCCCTGCTCATTTCTTATTCCCACAACTTCTTGACCCCTAGGGGTAAAATATGCTGCCACCTCTGCTGGGCCCAGGAGGACTTTTCTGGTCTGCAATTATTCTAGTCACTGACTTCAAGACCAGTGGTTTTCATGGCTTGAGAATCCCCAAAAGCTTAAGAGGCATTTGTGTGCTAACTAAAGTGAAACCCCTCCCCTTCCCTTCTCCCCTCCTGCCCCTCCCCTTCTCCCCTACTGTCCCCCAGATCGCTTCTCAAAGGGCACAGATGTAGGAAACCTGAGTCAGCCCGTACCCTTCTATTAGTCAGTCCCCTCCAACCTCAACTTCCTAGTAACAGAGATTATTTTGGGATGCTGGGCACCCCCTAGTGGGAGTAATGGAGAGAGAAGAGAGATTGCTTTGATGCTGTTCTCAGTAACCCACGCACCCCCAGCTTCCACCCCTCCTCGTTGGTCTTTGCCTTCCAGCCCAGTTCACTGTTCTTGGAATGACTCATTGTTCCCACGATGATTGGGCCTTTTGCTCCATAAAGCCCTCCCTGAGTTTACGGGCATAATGAACTAAAATTAAGCAGAAGGCAATTCAGGCAGAACAGTAGGAAAAACTTCCTATGGCGACAGCTCTTGAATCCCTGTAATTCCTTATAAGGCAAACTGAGTAAGACCTGACTGCACTGAGCAAAACAATAGAGAATATCTTGGAAAGATATTTTTGGAAGAGAGGAGGATGAGGGAGAGGCTACTTTCCTGATTTCAAGATAAATGTTAATGCCCACATCTGACACACTTACCTTGATTTCAAGACATGTTAATGCCTGGTGCTATGTCTTATCACTTCACATTTCACCATTTTGAAGTAAACAGATAAAGCCCCATCCCAGCAGAGGGACAGTCCATCTGCAGTTGTGGGACATTCTGAACATTTGTCACTATCCCTCACTCTTAGAAGACCATGACCGTAACCCTCATGACAGGGGATGAGCCCTACTAGTATTACGTTTCAATCAATAAACCATTTTCTGAGTACCTACACTATCCAAGGCTCAGGTAAAATTGATCTTATCCATTTTCTGTCCACATCTACTTTAGCCCTCCATCCAAAGAAGGGCTTTAATAAAAGATGGGGAGAGCTAACATATTTGAGTGCATGTACTAAGAATTCTTCTGCCAGAACCGGTTTGGCTCAGTGGATAGAGCGTCGGCCTGCGGACTCAAGGGTCCCAGGTTCGATTCCGGTCAAGGGCATGTACCTGGGTTGCGGGCACATCCCCAGTGCGGGGCGTGCAGGAGGCGGCTGATCGGTGTTTCTCTCTCATCGATGTTTCTAACTCTCTATCCCTCTCCCTTCCTCTCTGTAGAAAATCAATAAAACATATTTAAAAAAAAAAAAAGAATTCTTCTGGGTGTATTCACAGTCCAAATTTTAGTTCAATAGCTGATCATCTGCTCACTGGCAGAGGTCAGCCAGTCTGGTCCTGTGGTCCAATGCCTGTCCCCAGGGGTTGCTACAATTACACAGCATGCCACCTCTGTATGACTTTAGTTGCTATGGTCTTACCCATTCCTAGGTTTGAGTCATGGACTCATTAGTGTCCACTCCCACTGGCCTTCTCTGATAGTTCCCCGGAACCCTGATCATAACGCTAGCAATCCCACTGCAGGGTGTTCTCTGCGATGGCTCCTGCCTCATCTTGAACCTAGTTGCTTAGACCAGTGGTCGCCAACCTTTCAGACCTCACGGACCACCAGTGGACCACTGGTTGGCAACCACTGGCTTAGACAGTCTAATCTCAGAACTGCTTACAATGTTAAGCCTTTCCATTTTTTCTTTCAGAGCCATTTGGTGATGTTCATCTCTGTGACAACCACAAATTTAGGAAGCAGCTCTCCCCTCAGGCACTTCCATTTTTGTGTTCAGATTGGCAGCCTTCCCAACTCACCAGAGGCCTCACAGAATGAAACCCTCTGTGGAGGGTTAGAGGAAAAATTGGACGTAAGTGCGTTGGGCATCTGGGAGAAAGAAGAGTCAAGGATGCTCCAGCTTGGTCGGCCTCTCTGACCAAGGCTTGACAGCAGAAGCTGGAATTCCTTCCTGCATAACTTGGGCTTGAATTAAAGGCATTACTTTTTTTTTAGTCTGAAGACCTCTGGCTTCACTCTGGATGGAACACTCAAAGGGCAGAGTAAGGTCCCCAGCTGACAGGAAGGACACACTGACCCCTGGCCCCCGTGCCTTGGCCAATCTGGGCAGAAGACACAAAAGCTGTGGTGACTTAGCTGAGCCACCTGGGGTGCTTCTGTCAGTGCAAACTGTCCTCATCTGTGTCAGCTGGCCTTGACTTTGTGAGAAAGGGTGGTGATGTGTTTATGTGCTCAGAGGAGAAAACCTCCTGGAGAGAGAATGAAAATTAAAAGTAATAAACCCAACTAGTGGCTGCTTTGGGTGGCTGGAAAAGAAGGAATCCTCAGACAAGGGGCCCCAGCTCCAACAGACAGAGATAAGGGAACTTTCACTACTTCTGTTTCTATTTTAGAAGAAATAAAAAGCAAATCATAAATCTAAAGATGATGGTCCATTCATCTGGGGAGAGAATTAAACAAGCTGTTACATTCCAAGCAGATATTAGGACGGCAAAAGTGAAGACTTTTAACCTGCTAGTGGGAATGTTTCTTTCCTGAAAATCACCAAAGATAAGGTTCCAAAAAAATTACTTTTCAGGCAGGTTAAGAAGTATTCATTTGGGCTGCCTGTAGTGAGCTGGATTCTTAGCACTGGATGCTTTCTAAGAAAAAGTAAAAGGTGTGCAAACAAAGCTATTATGGGAAATTCAGGAGTGTGATTTGTCGATAAAGGTGAAGAGGGGGTGATTCAGCTGATCCAGAGCTGCAACAAACAGAAAGCAATGGTTTTGCAGCTTGGGATGTGCCCAGAAGGGATGATACCCCTGGCTCATGCCTTTAAGAAACCAACATTGAGCTGCCAAGGCAGTGCTTGTGGGCAGGGGACAGGTCTAAGCTGTCTGCCAGTGCCTGCAGTGTTAGATATCGGTGTGCATTATCTGCTACTATCCCCAAGGGAAGGAAGTTTTGTGCCAGCTGGAAATCTCCCAGAAAAGACAGGTATGTAGCTCTTGGATGATGTCCAAGGAAACCAAGTGAGGGCTTGAACTCTGGCCAGAGAAGCAGGGTGTGTACACCTGGGGAAGCTGGGTGGGAGTCATTAGACTACACTCAGGCAGGGGAGCGTGGGGTGTGGCGTGTCCATGAAGCGTGGGTGTCAGCATTCCAGAGCCTGGACACTGTTTATGGAAGATGCTTCGGTAAATACAGAACGTGAGTTCCTCTGGCTGTCCTACAACCTTTTCTCCTGCTGAGTTTCTGGTTCTTTTGAAGCTACAACATTAAGCTCTCAATAAAGTTGAAGCTGAGACATAGATGGGACGCAATGGCCAGATCTGCAGCACAGAGCCAAGGAGAGGAGGCAAACCCTTGGCCTTGAAGTAGGTCGCTATGCTTCTGAATCACAGCAATGAAAGCTAACTCCATGTCTTCATCCACTTAATTTTCCTTCTCACTCTCTGGTGACCTTTTGGCCTTTTACTTTCCTTCTTGCTCTTTGTCCCACGGATTTCCAGTGGTTAGCTGGAGCCACTTTGGACCACCTCCCAACTCTGTGTTCAGTAATGCCACAAGGCAGCTTATCACCAGCATGGTGGGAGTATTTATATTACAGAAAGAACAAATGCTATAAATTTGAGATTTGTTTATTTTTTCTGAATAGCCAATTGTTAAAACATTTGCCAGTACACCATGCCTGTCACTGAGTTTTTACATGGAAGAGGGGTTGGCGAACTGAAGGGGCACGATGTAAGAAGTTTGGGAGGCAAATGGCGAAGCCGAGTATCTAGAGAAGCTGTTCTCAACCTGTGGGTCACGGCCCCTTTGGGGTCGAATGACCCTTCCACAGGGGTCGCCTAAGACCATCGGAAAACACATATACAATTACATATTGTTTTTGTGATTAATCACTATGCTTTAATTATGTTCAATTTGTAACAATGAAATTGGGGGTCACCACAACATGAGGAGCTGTATTAAAGGGTCGCGGCATTAGGAAGGTTGAGAACCACTGATCTAGAGGAAAGTGGTGGGTTGCCAAGACTGGTTCTGCCCTCCTCATGGACACACACTCCACCCCAACACAAACCTTGGATTCCATGCTTAACAGTTGCTCAGTAAGAACCGGCTCTTGTGTCTACAATGACATGTAGACATTGTTTTCTGGTGATTTAGGTGTTTTTTTTAATCTTCCCACTTGAACATTTTCTTGAGGTTTATGGTGCAAGGTATAATAAGTCCAGCTGTTGGTCCTTCTACCACAACAGCCATTGAGGAGTAGCAGCCATGGCTCTGGGCTACCCCATGGCCATGGCCTCAAGTAGGGCCACAAGGTGACCAAGAAAGTGGGCAAGCTGAGGCCCAGTAGTTACCATGGGCACCTCAGTAAGCATACCAAGTTCATGCAGGACATGATCTGAGAGGTGTGTGGCTTTGCCCTCTATGAGTGGCACACCATGAAGCTGCTCAAGGTCTCTACGAACAAGAGGGCCTGAAATTCATCAAGGAAAGGGTGGGGACACACATCTGTGCCAAGAGGAAAAAAGGAGCTGAGCAATGTTCTTGCAGTCATGAGGAAGGCAGCAGGCAAGAAGGACTGAGCCCCATCCCTTCTGTAGGTAATAAAACCTGCTCAGGAAAACAAAAAACAGAAACAACCTAGGTCCAGAGTGTTTTTCCTATTATGGATTTAAAGTGTGTTCACATAGATTCACTTCCTCTTTTGCTCTTCCAACCACCCATACAATAGTTTGTGTTCCCTTTCCCCTGTATGTGCTTCCCATTGACCTTTGTCTTCAACATCTTATCTCTTCCAAAAATATCCCTGAGCTGGATAATTATCACTCCCTCTAGAGTACATTTTTAAACTTTAATGTACAGGCAAATCACCAAGGGAATCTTGTTAAAAACCAGATTTATATTCAGTAGGTCTGACTGGGGCCCAAGATTCCCCATTTCTAACAAGCTCCCAGGTGCTGCTGCTGGTCAGCAGGTCACTCATTTAGTGGAAAAGGCTCCAGACTGGTCATGTTAATCCATCTGCCTCTTCTGCTTGAAGAAATCCCGCTATACTTCTGGAAGGGACAGTCTTCAAGGGAGATTGGACCAGTAGTGGAATCATAACCAAACAACCAAATCTATATGCCAAGTGGGGTTAGATTCTCTTTCAAGAATTTGAATAGAATGCTATCCTAGCCTGGATTCTCCACAAAGTAGAGCCTGAGATAGAAGTTTGCACATAGTCATTTATTTGGGAATCCCAGAAAATAGGAGACAGGGATATGGGGAGTGAGAAATAAAAGGAAGAAAAAACAATACAAGGATGTGTGATTGAACTGATGATCTCAAAGGGCACCAGGTACTCAGCCCCGTGGGACCTGCTAATGGGCCTTCAGAAAGACATCTCAGTACTGTCTCAAACATTTATACAGCCTTTCCTTTAGGACAGTGGTCAGCAAACTGTGGCTTGCGAGCCACATGTGGCTCTTTGGCCCCTTGAGTGTGGCTCTTCCACAACATACCACATGCGGGCGCATACATACAGTGCGATTGAAACTTCATGGCCCATGCACAGAAGTCGGTTTTCAGCCTGGGTGAAACAAGTATACAAGACGAGTGTGGATGGGAGAGTTGGAAGGGGTCAACCTCAGCTAACGTATCTCAATCAGATTGAGGATGTTTTTAGCAAAGGCCAGCTTAGGAGTACCCTAATTAAGTTAATAACAATGTACCTACCTATATAGTTTAAGTTGTAAAAATTTGGCTCTCAAAAGAAATTTCAATCGTTGTACTGTTGATATTTGGCTCTGTTGACTAATGAGTTTGCCGACCACTCCTTTAGGAAAATACTGATTAAATGCTTCAAAACCTTTATTTTCCAGTTTCCAAATAATGACTTGATTCCTTAGCATCCTCTAAAAACCACCAATAAATTTTACTTTAGTATGATTATGAACTCATGGATGATAAAGATTACATGTAAAGTATTTAACACAAGTTACATAGCAAGTCCTCTGCAAACATTAGCCACTGCTATTACCACTCTCTTACTATTAATGTGTTCTCATGACTTTTCCAATCATAATGGACCTGCTTGCTCATATAGAACACCAACACCCACTGGCTTCTTTGGATTTACTTAAAATTCCCAATCTTGGCTTATACCCACCCACTGTAACTGGAGAGCCAGTCTGATACCCTATTGGGGTTTTTCTGTTCCAGGAGTGTGCAAACTAGGGCCTGTAAGCCAAATCCAGCCTACTACCTGTTTTTTCAAATAAAGTTTTTTTTGGAACACAGACACATCCACTCATTTACATATTATCTATGGCTGCTTTAGTGCTGCAACACCTGAGTTGAATAGCAAAGCCTAAAATATTTATAGTTTTGTTCTTTAAAGAAAGGTTGCCAATCCCTGTTCTGTTCTACTCACAGATTATGTACCAAGTCCGTGCAACAATCTCGGAATGGGTTATTGATCACCAAGGAGACCAGGTAAGGGTGGGAATGAATCACTGCCACCTCTTTTCACTCAAAAAACAATTCCAAGTACTATTAGTAGAGAGGGTGTCAATTCAACCCTTTAAGAGCTGTGCTTTATATTATCCTTCTCTGAATCAGACTAGTTACATAGTCCATCATTTGGCAAAAGTCCATTCAACAAGCAAAATATTAATAAACTTTTTTGTGTAAGATTATTAGCTTGAGGCAGTGCCCTCAGCAAGCCCAGATCTGTTTCTTGCTTCAACAGTGTTTGGATGGAACAGACCCAGGGACGCCCCTTCTTCCAGCCTCCAGACACTCTCCTGCATCTTATCCAGTCACCACTTTCAGAACTACCTCTGGGACCAGCAAAGGTTAAAAAGCAGATTTATATTCAGTAGGTCTGACTGGGGCCCACCAGTTTCTTTTCTACCTTAACTCCTTATTGGCCAACAGCCATGAGCTCCCAAATTCGTCAGAATGATTCCACCGAAGTGGAGGCTGTAGTCAACTGCCTGGCCAACCTACATCTGTGGCCTCCCACACCTACCTCTCTCTGGGTTTCTATTAACCAAGATGATGTGGCTCTCAAGGGCGTGGGCCACTTCTTCCATGAGTTGTCAGAGAAGAAGCTGGAGGGCGCTGAGCATCTCTTAAAGTTGCAAAACCAGCGCGGTGGCCACATTCTCTCCAGGACGTGCTGAAGCCTCCCCAAGATGAGTGGGCAAAACTCAGCATGCCATGGAAGTCTCCTTGGCCTTGGAGAGGAACCTGAACCAGGCCCTTTTAGAGCTGCAGGCCCTGGGTTCTACCCACGCAGACCCTCAGCTCTGTGATTTCCTGCAGAACCACTTCCTGGGTGAGGAGGTGAAACTCATCAAGAAGATGGGCTTCACCTGACTCACCTCCTCAAGATGGCTGACCCCCAGGCTGGGCTGGGTAAGTATCTCTTTGAAAGGCTCACCCTCAAGCATGACTAGGAGCCTTTGGAGCCCAGAGGCCCTTGAGAGGCTCCTCTGCATGCCCCTGGTGTCTGGCTTTTACCTGTGCCTCTCTCGGAAACTACTAGCCATTCTTTTAACCACCCTGAAGCCCCCTCCCATGCATTGGACCAAAAGAAACAATAAAAGTTTTTTGCAGCAAAAAAAGAAAGAAAAATAAAAGATTATTTGCTTGAAAACAGAAGGCTGTTGCTAAAGGAATCTTCCTCTTATTAAGGGATTTTATCAGACTACTCTAAAAATAAATTAGCCTTTCAAATAAGAATAAATGTAGATAGAATTTATCACTTTCATTTTCTCCACAAATATCTTTGACATGTTAATAACCACCTAATGAGGACAGACATTAGATGAATATTTATGATGGCCATGGTTGATGAATATGATCCATGAACTATGCATTTAGTACTGGATTCAGAATGGAGTCATGAGATATGGTTAGTCATTGTCATTGGGTACACAATGAATGATCACTTTATATTAGGCCCTCCACAATGAGAATGCCCATATCCACATAGAACTTTCAGCTTCTTTTGTGAAATAGTCTTTCAGAGCAGAAACACAGGAAGTTACTTGAGAAGCCCAGCTCTGACCAAACAACACAAATACTTTTATCATGTTCAGAGGTCAAGCTTCAAAAGCCTTCTGAAAACAGTCCTAAGCCCCAACATGCAAAAAGCGTAAGTGGGGAGGGAGTGTTTTGTTAGTGTTTTCTTGCTTATGAAAACAATATAATGTTTTAAATTTTTTAAATAAAACTTCCCTTTAGTCCTGGGCCCTAGTACAGTTGTTTTCATTTTTAGGTAATCTCATTTAGTCTTCAACCAAATGCATATTCATATTCACATGCAATTAACTTCTATGAGAGTTTATCTATCAGGAACGATGATTAAAATACACACAGGATGGTCATCACAGAGGTATCAGTAACACCGTGTATGAGAGCTTCCAGTGGCTCTCAAGCTGCGCTGCACATTGGCATCTCTTGGGAATGTTTTTTAAAATACTGATGTTGTGGCCCCACCTGCCAAACATCCTAATTTCATTAGCCTGGGGTGGGTTCCAGGGTTGGGTATTATTTTAAAATTCCCCTTGTAATTCTAAAATGTTGATTTAGCCAGATGCCTTGATGTTACAGGTCAAATACTGAGGTCCAGAAGTGTATTTCAAGCCTGGGCCCTTTCCCAGCTAAAAACTTCCTGACATCACAGTAAATGAACAGCTAGTTGAAGACCCTGTATGAAAAAGAAAATACTAGACTTTTCCTTGGATGAGCAGGTGGGGATGTATTCCATGGTTCTGAGAATAAGCCTTTAGCCTCTTTCACAGCATAGAACCAAACTTTCTTGCCATAGTTAAGATCTACAACGATATGAATATGGGCTGTGATATCAACCCTTAATTGGAGCTGTACCTTTGGCCTAGTTAGTAGACAGTGTCCAGATGTTTGGGATTGTGTTCTCTCGGCCATCCAGTCCTCAGTTTAATATTCAACAGGATGACCGCCGTTATTTAGAATTCTCCCGAGGGAGCAGGCTCCAACACTGAAGATTTGACACGCTCCCTCTTCACTCTTTTCCATGTGGTTGGAGTTTAAAATGCTTCTGTGTTGTCTCTTTCCGTTGGGAATTTCCTCTGGAGCTGGAGATTAATCATTATGCAAATATTAAAGAGTTTGAAAGTTCGAGAAAGGAAGGGAATTTGTTTAAGCAACCCTGTTGTGGTAGTTTAAATGAAAGATAAACAGCTGTTGTGTTTTGACCTGCATTCCAATTCTACTGTGCAGTTTGTGTGATATGAAATTATGTTTAAGTCTTCTCTGAAATTTATGTGTACCTTTGCCAAAACCTCTGTGTTCCCGTAAGTCTCCAAATGTATCGACCACCACCCACCCTATTTGCACTCCCTCTCAGACTGAAAAGGCCATTCTGGGGAAAAAAAAAAAACAGATTAAAACATTTCTCTCTCAGAATGTTAGTCTGACTGAGATGTTATTTAGATTTTTTAAATAGCCTACATGCCTGGGGTGTTCTGAAAGGAAATGCAGCACAGTCTCATGTTGCCTAATAAATAGGGCAAGTCATGTTCACTCAGGCACAGCCCAAAGGGAAAAACAAAGTCCTCACTCTTACCCTGAAGGTCAAAACTCTTTGGCTTCACTTGTCATATTCTCTTCTTCTATGCCCTCATGGATTTCTAAACAATAGGCTGCTAGTTAATAATTCTTTGTATTAAAACTTCCCTGCTTAAATCACTGTGTACTTTCTCCTGATCTGACCCATACTGATACCGCCCTTCCTAGACACAGAGTTCCCCAAGAGCAAAGGACATTGCTGCAGGGCTGGAGTGAGAAAAGCAGGGAAGGCACACAGATTCGTTGAGTTATAGGGTCATTCGAGTGCAGGGTGGATGCCTGCGGGTGGGTGACTCCTTGAAGTCTATGTCCTTGGTCCCTTGTTTGCCTCCCCCCGAGTCCAGACCCTGGTGTGGTGTTGTTGTTTTCTTTCTCTCTTCCTCCCCCACCCCCCAAAGTTTAGTTTAGTACATTCCAGAGATACTAGTTAGTACTTGTTATGGGCTGAATGTTGTGTCCCCCTGCAAAATCATACATTCAAGCTCTAATCTCCAATGTGTGAGTATTTTGGAAACAGGGCCTTTGGAGGTCATTAGGTTTAGGTGAGGTCATGAGGGTGGGGCTTTCATTTAGGGATTAGTGTCCTTTAAGAAGAGGAAGACAGAGATTTCTCTCTCTCTCTCTCTCTCTCTCTCTCTCTCTCTCTCTCTCTCTCTCTCTCTCCATGCATTCACTGAGGAAAGGCCATGTGAGCACACAGAGAGGCCAGGAAGTGGGTCTTCTCCAGGAACCAAATCTGTTGGCTCTTTGATCTTGGACTTCCCAGCCTCCACACTCAGAAAAATAAATGTCTGCTGTTATTTTGATATGGCAGTCCAAGCTAAAACAGTGCCTAATTAGCATTTAGTAAAAAGCTGAATTACCTTTTCTCTCTCAGAATCATTTCTGTAAATTCAGTTTAAGAAAAACAGTTAAGCCCAGCTGGCGTAGCTCAATGATTGAGTGTCAACCTATGAACCAGGAAGTCACAGTTTGGTTCCGGTCAGAGCACATGCCTGGGTTGCAGACTTGATCCCCAGTGTGGGCAAACAGAAGGCAGCCAATCAATGATTCTCTCTCATCATTGATGTTTTTATCTCTCTCTCCCTCTTCCTTCCTCTCTGGAATAAGTAAAAATATATATTAAAAAAGAAAACAGTTGAGTCTAAAAATAGTTAGGCATAGTGTTCAAAAGTCAGATTTTAAAGTCTTGTAGACCCATGTTCAACCCTAGCTTTATCACAACCCTGATCTAGTTACTCTCCGCGCCTCGGTTTCTTTATAAAAGGGGGGGGGGGGACCTTTTTCTGCCAAGGGCCATTTAGATATTTATAACATCATTCATTGGCCATATAAAAGTATCAGCTTAAAAATTAGCCTGCTAATGTTATGCCCAGATTTCAAGATCCCCAAAAGCCCACCAGGGAGCCAGCAAGTCCGATGCAAAAGCAAAGAGTCTTTATTCGAGCCAGCTTGGCTCCCCGACCACACTCACCGACGCAACGGCAAGCCAAGTGGCAGAGAGAGCGAACTCTGTGTGGAGAGAGGTTTTATAGGGGGGTTGCAGTAAGGGGAGGAGAAAGGACTGTGGGCCCTGCCGATTGGCCAGGCGCAAGTCGGTGTCTTGTTACACAGGATATGGTCATATCTATGGCGTGCACTTCCCTTGATTGTCATTGGTTAGTTTAAAGAAGTCCTGGGTGTGGCTAGCAGAGGCTTAGGGAAGAAGCTCCTTGCCGAGCACATGGCTGCCCCAAAATGGAGGATCCAGGGTAAGATGGAGGGCATAGCCCTCGCCCTTTCACTATATTTGGTCAAACATTTAATTAACTCACCCCTAATGCCTTGGCAGGGCCAGACCAAATGATTTTGTGGACCTTATACGGCCTGTGGGGCCGATGTTCCCCACCCCTGATCTATATAGTAGACACAATAATAATGTCTAGTTCATAAAACTTTGGAAAGGATTAAATAAGATAATACATATAAGGGGCTTAGTTCAATGCTCTCTAATATTAGCTTGTAGTGTTGATAGTAGGCTAAAATTACTCCCCATAAAATTAACCCCAAATTCCCCCTAGTCTGAGTCACAAAATGAGGAAATAAGAACCAAAAGCCAGTATGTCTGTAGTTAGTCTTTTAAAGGGATTTCTAAAATCAGAAAAGTTAAACATTGCTTCTCTTTGTCCCCAAAGCCAACGTAAACAATGTGTAGGAAGGAATGTAAAAAAGCACAGCAATGGCATCGATCTCCTTTCCCATGAGAGGAGACTGGATTGGAATAAATATTCAATCTGTTCTTTTTTGTTTCGACTTCAAAAACCTGTAACTTTGTTCAAATTCTATTCAGTGAGAATGTTTAGTGCCTCTTCCACGTTCCGGGAATTACACTAATTAGTAAAGATTCAAGCAGCTGAAGGTCTTAAGGTATAGAGATAAGCATGTAAACAAAGCAAAGGTCATTCTGAGTGATGGTTGCTCCAACTGTGGTGGAGCTCACCAGGGCTCTGCAGGAAGGAAAGGGCAGGGACCAAGCAAGGTCAGAGAATCCTTCCCAGAGGTTATATCCCTACAGGAGGCATGAAATCGTGCTCGAGTAGCTCCCTTCTGCTTGCCTCAGCTGGCTGCCCCGCCCATCGCTGCTCATAGTTCAGTGCCCTGTCCTCTGCCGCTCATAGCTCTCCGCTGCTAGTAGCTCACACCCTGCCCTGCCCGCCGCCCGGAGAGCTGCTGCTCGTTTGGTGTGACGGTGTGATGGCCACGGGCTTTTTATATAAGAGATTGCTATTGCACCTCGGAAGTAGAAAGGGAAAAACGGAAGGCATTACTTGAATTTTTTCAAGTGACTAGAGCAAGATGGTGTGTCTGAAGCTAACAGTGTATTTGATCATTTGGAACTACTAATATTGACAGTGGAGCTACCATTCATGGAGTAGTTACTATATATGAGGTATTTTAATATGCCTTAATTAATTTTCAATTCAATCCTTCTAAAAACCCTTGGAGATAGGACTCATTATCAACATTTTACAGTTAAAGAAATTGAGACTTTCAGCCAGAATAGTGGGGCTGAAGCCACCTTCCTCAACTCTGCTCTTGACCTGCTACTGTTAACTTTGTCCAATTTCTAGGAATCTGTTTTTTTGCTATTATACAAAAAACATGCAGGACCTATATAGAATATTTCTAAACCTAAGCAAACTTGGCCTAAATTTCTTCATAAAACACTGGCTATTATAATAGGCCAGATTCAACCAGCTTTTATTCACAACTGAAAATTGCATTTTAACAGAAAAATAAATGTGCTACCCAAACCCAGTCAACTTATTATATCACATCTCTAAACCAGTTCTGCCAGTTTATTAATTGCAGCTATAAAGAATAACACAAGAACATGTCCTTGGATTTTATACCATCCTTAGCCCAATAAGAAAGCTCCCAGCACAGAGCCGGACACAGATCAGGCAATCACCAAATATTGCTTCTGTCTTCCTTCCCTCCTTTGGTACAAACAATAGAAATAAAATAGGGAACTGGGCAAGCAGATCAGGAGAGAACTCCTATCCAAAGACAACAGGATAGAGAATTACAGGCTTATCACCCACAGCCATGGTTCATAGCCTTCTCCAAACCACCTCTTGAGAGATGCTGTTGCCAGTTACAGTTTCATCCAGGAACTGACCTTGGCCCAGAGCCTTCCCTTCACTTGTCCAGAAACTCTGCATACCAGAGAGGTCACCCCAGCCAATAGATATACTCTCTATAGTCCCTTTAATGCAGCCGAGATAGAGAAGGATAGTCAACGGGCAATTGGAAACTATGGGACTAAGATGGGAAAAGTGGGCTGCATACTAGTCAAATGGGAGCCCTGGAACAGCTTTCTAAACAGCCCCAGGGAATGGCTTTCAGGTTGGAGAGAAATGGGTATGTCTATCATGATGAATGGGCATAGGTTCTGGTGCTCCAAAAAAAAAGAATTTGAAAATACATTTCCTGACTTGGGTAGGAATAATAATGAGATGACGAGATGACTACCTGGTATATGCTGAGCACTCTGCCTGATACATAGGAAGTACTCAGTAAAGAAGAGCTGCTGCCCTGGCCAGTGTGGCTCAGTTGGTTGGAGTGTTGTCTTGTGCACTGAAGGGTCACGGGTTTGATTCCCAGGCAGGGCATATACTCAGTTTGCCAGTTCGATCCCCAGTCAGGGTGCATACGAAGGCAACTGATCAATGGTTCTTTCTCACATCAGCGTTTCTCTCTCTCTCTCTCCCTCTCCCTTCCTCTCTACAATCAATGAAAAAATATTCTCAGGTGATGTTTAAAAAAAAAAGAAGAAGAAGAGCTGCTGCTATTATTAAGATTTTGCTCTTTATAATTAAGACGAGTTTGTTAAGGATGTGATACAAGTGCAGCGTGTCCAGGTATGTAAGGGGTGGCAGAGGTGGGTATTGCGGTAGGCTGAAAATGGCCCTCCCAAAGATGCCGAGTTCTAATCTCTGGAACTGGCAAGTATTACCTTACTTGG